AGCTTTTCTACTGTTGCTCAGATTGTTAGTTGGGGTCAGTCTTGTAGGAGAGAGAGAGAGAGAGATAGACAGAAAATAAAAGAGGAAGCCATTATATGTTTCAAGAGAAAACTGACTCTAGAGAAATGTCATTTGTTTTTCTTTAACTTTCTCTTGAAATCAATTTTTACATGTTAACTTAAGAGTTTTTTGGTTTAAAACACAGAAATGGTATAGCTGCATTGTAAAGCAGTTCTGATTTTAGTTTCATGAAGGATAGCCACTGGTTATTCATACACTGTTGCAATCTCTTTCTTTTTTTTCTTCCTTCCTTCCTTCGTTTCTTTCTTTTTTTCTGTTTCTTTTTCTTTTAGTTTTTCGAGACAGGGTTTCTCTGTAGCTTTGGAGCCAGTCCTGGAACTTGCTTTGTACACTAGGCTGGTCTTGAACTCACAGAGATCCGCTTGCCTCTGCCTTCCAAGTGCTGGGATTAAAGGCATGTGCCACCAACACCCGGTTTACACTCTTTTTCTTAATGAATCAATTTTTCATATACTATTCTAATCACAGTTTCTTCTCCCATTTGGCCATTGGCTCAACTAGATATAACTCAATTCTGGCACTCAACGTTTTACTTGGTAGTGAAAGATGTCTAGTTGAGACATTGTCTTCCTTTTTTTTTTTTTGTGATCCCATTCATATTTCTTCATATGTGTGTAGTAGATTTCCAAATGACCCCTCAAATGACTCTTACTGTTACTTATCCTTCTTCATATTCCTTACCCCTGTCATGCATCCTCCTTCCCATTTAATCCTCCTATTGGAGTCATACCCCTCACTGCATCTGTCCTGTATGCTATTTTCCTTTTATTGGGGAACCCTCCCTTCCCTCCTTGTCACTTACTCAGTACCTAACCTTTGTTATTATGTAGATTTTATCATGCTTATTGAAGGCTGAAATGCTAGTATTCACATATAACAGAAAATTTACAACATTTGTCCTTTTGGGTCTGGCTTATGAATCTCAGGATGAATTTTTCTAGCTCCATTCATTTACCTACAAATTTCATAGTTTTGTTGTATTTTAAATTGTTCACTAATGTTCAATTGTGTAAATGTACCATATTTCCATTATCCACTCATCAGTTGATGGACATTAGGCTGTTTTCAATTTTGGGTTCTTATGAATAGAGCAGCAAAGAACATGAAGGAGCAGGTTTACATTCTTATTGACACAGTGACATAAGATTATTTCTTGTCCCCCATCTTTACCAGCCTTTGTTGTCATTTATTCTCTTCATGATAGCTATTCTGACAGAGGTGAGATGGGATCTCAGAAAACTGTTACTTTATATGCCTGATGGCTAAGAATAGTCAACCATTTTTCAACTATTGCATCATTTGTTTTTTTTTTTTTTTTTTTTTAAAGGCATCTATTTAGCTCACAGGTTCACTGGTCCATTTATTGACTGGTTGACTTTTGGTTTCCTTGTATTTGCTTATGTGTTTAGATGTGGTCTTGTGTAGCCCAGGCTTTCCTTAAACTCATGATGAAGCATAAGATGACCTTGAGATTTTTGATGATCCTACCCCTATTTTTGTGCTTGGATTATAGATGTGTGCAGTGGATAGAATGCAGGGCTTTGTGAATGCTGGGAAAGCACTCTACCAACTAAATTATACTGCTAGCCTTTTTGTTATTTATTATTTGTCACTCTTTATATATTCTAGACATTAATACTTTTCCAGAGGTATACTTGGCAGAACATTTTCTGTAGGCAGGGTAATGTTCTCAACTGTTTCTTTGAGTTTGCTCTTTTCAAATTATCACTGCCTACTTAGGGCAGCATTTCACTTTGGGGTGGTGGCAGGTTATATTCAGACACCTGACTTCTGGGTGTATTCTCTTTTCAAGCCCCCGGTCTCAAGAAGGAGCCTACTCATGGACCTTGAAGTTACATAGTATGACAGAATGGGTGGTACATTTCTGACCCATCACTTCAGTAGGATTCGAATATGTGACTGTTATGGACTTGTTCTGAGATTGGTCCCTTCACCAGGTCTTCAGGGCTTATCCTTTGGACGAGGCTTTTATTTCCCTTGCTTCTGCCAGGGATCCATGCTGCTAGAGGTGCTTGCCTCGACTGCTTTCTGTTATGCTGCCTTTCTTAGTTCTCACGTTTTTCAACTGTTGTGTCACTCATTGCCTGTGTGGATACTGGGAGCTCCTCCTCTTCTGTCTTTGGAATAGTCTGCCCTTACTCTGATTTTATTAGCTGGATTACATGGGGTGCCTTCTAGTTACTGATCTTTCTCAGTACTTTCAAAGTTTTGCATGTAATCATAATCTTTTACTTTTGCTGGGTTCATACATTGTATAGAACACTGGTAGAGATAACACCCACAGAGTCCCTGCCCTCAAGATTTTGCAATTTATGGAAATGCCTGGTGACTGAAAGTGAATGTGTCAGTGAAGGAAAGTTTGAGAAGTAGAGACATTAAAGTTCAGTTGTCAATGTTTTCCCATGTATGTCTTAAGGTGAGCTAGATGGTTAGTATTGTTGCTTCATTTGGAGTAGGTTAGAGAAGGATCAAAGGTTCCATCCATCTGCTGAACTTGGCCAGGTTGGAAGTGTTTTCTGCAGTGCCATTCTGGTTACTGATTTACAAAGATGTTCACATTTGTAACTGCTTCAGCTTGCTTTATAGTGATGCAGTGAACTCAGAGGAAGTCCTTGAATGGAAATGCAGTTGATATAGAAGAATAATATTCCTATACAAATGAAATTATGTATTTGGAAGCTGTTAGAAAACTCAGTAAACTCTGGAATTCCATGCCCATCAGCATGTTTGACAGCATACCTCTCTATGTGTACACATGTATACGTCCTATGATCTTCTTTCCCAGGCAAAGCGCTAATCATACTTTGTAAATACCAATTCAGCCTCTGCAGTGAGAAGACTTAAGGCCACTTATCAATGATTGAATATGCTTCAGTCCAGTCGTTTTGATATTTAAAAAAATCATTAAAAAGAAACCATATTTAGGTGATTGTTAACCCTTTGAACTGTTAATAAGACTGGGCCTGTCTTCACTTTTGAAGATTAGCAATATATGCTATCAAAATAAGTGGATTTAAAACATTGTATGTAAAAAAATCTGAAATTAAATTTCTGAGGTAGAAGAAATAAATACATTACAAAAAGTTTAAGAAATATAGAAACCAAGAAGCTTGTACATATCATTTAGATACATGTATATTTGTTTCTATTTCTACCTGTAATACTGAAAAATAATTTCTCCAAAGCATAATCCCATGTAGTATTATTATAGACTTTGTTTTCTGTTCAGTATTGTTACTGCTCTTATATGGAATCTCATACTGCCTGAACGTTGAGTCTTTCCTCATGTGCCCCTGAGTGCTGGGAGTACAAACCTGCCATTCTTCCTGCACCTTCTCTTTTCTTTTCATTTCCTTTCTTTTCAAAGTGCTTTCTCAGATATAGTACTCATGAGAGTAATCTAAAAACTTGACATAGTCTATCAGTGTAAATGTTTCCATTAATACTATAGTAAAGGTCAATTAATAAGGCCATGCATTTCTTTATATTCATCATTGGCAATACATTGGGAATACTTGTTCCTTATAAGTTGAAAGCACATGTGGATAGCCAAGGAAAATTCTATGTTAATTAGTTGAAATGTTTTAGAGACTCCATGTTGGTTAACATAGATTTTTTTTTTTTTTTCCTTTGTAGTCCTTTCTTCCACAGTTTATTGGAATTAAGAAGTGCAGTCAAATTGTTAGGGAAACCATGATCTCTTACTCATTAACAGTCACTTTAATTCTAGCCTTGCCACCAGTGACCACATTGTATGTATAGTCCTAATGTGGTCCATCTGTCTGTTCCAAGATATTAACTAGCATAATTGGAAAGTACTTTCATTTCATGAGCTAAAGAGTGACTCAAACTGGGCCTCAAGTTGTTAGAATATTCTGAAAATGTACGTGATGAGAATAACATAGATTTTAATTGGAAGTTGTAGTTTATCAGTTACATGTGAAAAGGAATAAGTGGATTATATCCAGCTTGACATACTTATTAGGCAGAAATTATTCCAGTGCCATAAAATCATTTAAAAATAATCCTGACATCTCGAAGCCCCCCTACATGTTTACACACGATCCATAGTTTAAGATTTCCCATTGTCTTGGATTACAGATTATTGGGGAGCAACCCTGCTTTATATATAACTAGAGGTTCCATTCTAATTCATGGGATTGATAATTTATTAGAATTCATTTCTAATTTATGCCATTAAGGAAGGTAACTCTCCTCAGAGTAGAGTTTTCCTATCTGAGGAATAGCAAGGTGAGGCCTCCCCACCCCTATCATCCACACACACACTGAAATAGGCTGAGGTGTATTAAGATGCTGTGACTCCTCTGACCCTGCTAGAAACCAGCTTTCCCTTAGCGGCAAGCCATGTGCAAAGCATTGTTGACTCTGGTTATTTTAACTATACCTTAGAGAGGTGCACAGGCATTTGTAGACCTCTGGGTTCCTAGGTAAGGGGAGGAAAGCTTAACATTGTTTTGTGGCACAGTTACTTGATGTTTAGCAGGCCCTATGGGTTTTTATTTTATGATTTATTTTTGTTTTATGAGTGTTTGTCTGCATTTATGTATGTGCAACCCATGGGTGTCTGGTGCCTGTGGAGGCCAGAAGAATGTGTCGGATCCACCTTTGTAAGATGATGTGTGAGGTGCTGGGATTCAAACCAAGGTCCTTTGCAAGAGCAGTAATTGTTCTTAACCAGTGAGCCATTTCTCTAGCCCATCACTAGTAATTATTGCAAGTATTGAATTAATACTTTACTAAACATTTTATGCACTGTGAATTATTTAAGCTATTAAACTGTAAAATATTGAATTGTTCTGAAGTTCTCAAAAGTCTTCTAATTTTAAGGAAAAGTGCAATAATACTAAGTTTTCTCTTCTGCTTTTCCTCCTCTACAGTGTGTCGAGATTTTGCTGTCTTAGAGGACCACACCCTGGCTCATAGCCTGCAGGAACAAGAGAGTAAGTAACAGCTCTAATTCATGAGCCTGCAGCTCTCTAGTGGCAGCTTGAGGCTAGTTTCTTCCTGTGAGGTAAGGAGAAAGTCACTAAGTATACCTCATATCTACCCTGAAGGATAGGTCTTGGCAAATGACAAGGGTAAATAATGAATTCTTCATGTTTTGAAGTGAGTCAGGGATAAGAATAGTATTCACTGTCTGGAGGAGAAGGAGAAAAATTTTCCTTCCCTTCCTTACAAGGGAGACAGTGGTTATAAATGTATCTATAGTGTGTTGGAAGCTTGCCCTTGAAATAGAAACAGGGACTTTTTCCACAGGTAATTGTAGTGTCTATGTTAAGTCACATTGTGGATTTGTTTGTTGTTTGAGATAGGGTAGTCCAGACTGATCTGAAATCCCTTATCTATATAAGCTCATCTAGGATGAGCTTGAAAATCTGATCCTGCTGCCTTTATGTCTCAACTGCTGGCATTATAGTAATGTGACACCACACCCAGTTGATGCCATGCTGAGGATGGGACCCAGGGCTCCCTGCATGCTAGGCAGGCACTCTGCCATCAAAGGTGCAGTTTTTTGAATCCTTACTTAGTATTTTAGTACAAAGTAAAACCCAATTTATGAGTTCATGATCTGTGAGTTCTTGGATGGCAGCAGAATTAGTAGAAAGAACAATGGTCCACTTAGCGTGTCTGTATAGACATATCCTGGCATTGCTACTTTTATGTCATACTTTCAAAAGCAAACTCACTCCTTTTGGTCTTCTTTTTATTCAGTGGAGTGATTCCTCAAGTATTTTAATCTATTGTTAAAAGCATAAAGTGGAGTAGTGGATGTATAGACCTTTTTAATGGTGAGGTTCTACTTAATTATAAGCTTTTTACTAACCGGTCAACACATTGTAACTCCTCTTTTAATGATTCTGTCCAGTTGAGCATCATTTGGCATCAAACATTCAGCGGAACCGCCTGGTCCAGCATGATCTGCAGGTGGCTAAGCAGCTCCAAGAAGAAGACCTGAAAGCCCAAGCTCAGCTCCAGAAGCGCTTCAAAGACCTGTGAGATCTGGGGAATGGTATTGATAAGAAGTATGCCTATGGGAACAGCAGCTGGGCTTACAAATTGTGTGGTGGCTATCTAGTAATTTTCTTTGTTACTGAAATGTGCAAATGTTAGTCATAGTAGGCACACTTTTATTCTGTGAATTTGTTTGTTTCTTTCAATTTAGTCTTTGTACACATGCCATGGAGAAGATAATCTCTTATCTTCTGATTGTGAGTTGTTTTTGAAGTACTGGAATAAAAGGTACCATCATGGGTTCCTTTAGTTTCCTTAGCTATTTGCTGCACCATCTTTCTTTGATTTCCTTGCCTTTCAAGAAGCACAATGTTCTAGAAAGCGCTGAGTTGTAGGATTATAGGTTATAAGTGCTAAATGTGAGAAATGCCATATTTTTTATAGGACTTCAAGCTGGAAATAGCAGCGTTCAGCATTTCCCTTCTGACAGTCTGCCTGGCTGCCACAGCAGAACTTTTCATTAATGGTACCTTTCACTAAGATTGGGACCTTTAGATACTTTCCAGCCAGGGTGACCAGTACTGACTGCTCCATACTCAGTCCTCCTGCCTCACAGTTCTATACATTTAGCCTATTGAGCTAGAACTAGCCCTATCTACAAGCAGGCTTTGAAGTTGTGAAGCTAAGTTGAAGCTTCATTTCTGTATCTTTGTGTCACTTGTGACCTTTGGAATTTGATCTGCTTTTTTCCTGGTCTAAGTCACCTGTTTAAGTTTATGTCTCTGTTTTAATGGATAAGATTCTAACATATTGACCTAAAGTCTAAACCATTTTTTATAACTTTTCAGTAGCATGAGAAGTCATAGCTCATATTGACCAAAATCAGGTCTACAGACTTCATTTAGGGATTATTTCTCTTAAAACAAAATCTGGTGTGTATATACATTAATGTATATATACTTCTACTCTTAGATATATCTATCAATTTCCAAGAATATTACAAAACCAACATTTTGTGATATAAATGAAAATTATTTTTATTTCCTTAGGTTTCTTAGAATATATGGGTTTCAGTGACTCCAGAAAAAGTTAGGGTTCCCCTGATAGTACTTTCTAACGTAACTTACTGATTCTCAACTTGGAGTATATAACCATGTCTGAGACTCAAAACATATTTGAAGTTCATTTGTTAGAGGGAAAATGAGGGGAGATATATTTATTTAGCAGGTGAAATGCAAATGATAATTTGAATTCTTCCAGCTTGTTTTGAAGTACTCATTTCTAAACATAATTTTGTTCATCTTTCCTAACTTGTATAAGAGCTAACTAACTTCCCAGAGTTATCACACTCTATAATTTTAAAACTCTCATTTTCCTTAAAACCTGAAACAAGACGACTGTATCCAGGATCATACTTTATAGTTACTTCTGAGAGAACCAGACTTCTTAAAGATGCTAAGGAAGACCCATTTGTTGCCCTGGGAAAGCCCTTGGGTTTTGTTTCCATTACCTGGGATTCTCCCATTTAAATGTATAAATGACTTATTTGTTTCCTCTGTTTGAAGCATCATGTTGGGTCCATAGTAGGTATAACTTAAATTTCTGTTTTATGTATTAATATGAAAATCAAGTAAATAAGCAGAAAACTAAAAATGTGACCCTGTGATAGCAACAGTGTTTCTAATGTCCAAAGCATTGAAAAATCTGACATTTTCCAAAAAAGCCTCCATTCTTAACTACAGTTAAAGAATGCAAGCTCTTTTTGTCTGTTTAAATTTTAACACATCGTTTAGTGTTTGTTTTTAAATTTAATTGTACTGTTTATACTTCTGTTTATCCTCTCTTGTCCCCACCTGTCCTTGTTCCTGCCTTGCTATTGGCCATTCAGCTCTTTATTAGGATCATCAGGAGTTTTAGACAGGCATGGTAACACAGCTTCACAGAATTAAACAAAAGTCCCACACCTTAAAATAATATTCTACCATACTTAGTGATCCATCTTTCTACTTGGTTCAGTTCAAAATTGGTCCTTTTTGTAACTCATGCAAATTGAATTAAAATATATAATAATTTACAATGAGTATCCAATAAACTATTCTGTTTAACAAAAATGTTCCTATGTGTTCTTTGTTTATATCATGTTTACCTTTGTTTTCTAGTGAACAGCATGATTGTGAAATTGCTCAGGAAATTCAGGAGAAGCTGACCATTGAGGCTGAGAGACGACGTATTCAGGAGAAGAAGGATGAGGTATGACTTTATTGAGGTTCTGCATTCATGGGAGAGAGAAGGTTAGCTCAGTGCAACCTTTCTGGATGGCAGGAGGACTCCTTATTTGTAGTGTAGTAGTGCCTAGGTGTTGGTTTCTGTGAACTACTGTTTTGTTTTGTTTTCTTTTTTTTCCTCTTTTCTTCTTTTTTAATTTCTTATTTTTATTTTAATATTGATCCCAGTTCCCTCTCCTTTTCTCCCTCCTTCCCTCCCTCCTCCCCTCCCTTCCTCTCTCCCTCCCTCCCTCATTCCCTCTCTCCCACCCTCCCCTGCCCCCTGACCACCCTCCCCTCCCACCAGTCTCCCCACACTCCACATGTAGGGTGATGCCTTCCAGGAGGAGTCCTGTAAATCTGTCAAGTCATTTGGAGTAGGGACTAGGCCTTCCCTCCTGCCTCTAGGTTAAGGGAGTAACCCTCCATGGGGAATGTGCACCCAAAGTCTTTTTGTGCACCAGGAATACATCCTGGTTCACTGTCCAAGGTCCTGTAGACTGCCCAGGCCTTCCTGCTAGCTGAGCCCCATATTCAGGGGGGTCTGAGTCAGTCCAATGCTGGATTCCTAGCAATCAGTCTGGGGGCCCGTTAGCTCCTCCTTGTTCAGGTCAGCTGTCTCTGTGTTTCTGTAGCCTGGTCTTGTCCTTCCTCTCTGCATCTGGATTCCAGTTCGGCTCAGTGTCTAGATGTGGGTGTCTTCTTCTGTTTCCATCAGCTACTAGATGAGGGCTCTATGATGGTGAATAAGTTAGTCATCAATCTTATCAGGGAAGGGCATTTATGGTCGCCTTTCCACCGTTGCTCAAATTGTTAGTTGGGGCCAGACATGTAGTCTCTGGACATTTCTCTAGAGTCAGTTTTCTCTTCAAACCTATAATGGCTTCCTCTTTTATGATCTCTCTCTCTTTCTCTCTCTCTCTCCCTCTCCCCAGACTCAATCTTCCTAGTCCCACGTGCTTTCCTCTCCCCTCCACTTTCCTAGCTCCCTCTCCACTCACCCCCCCCCCCCACTCCCAATATACTCTGGAGATGTTGTCCTTTTCCCCTTCTGTGAGGGACCTTGTATGAATCGCTTAGAATCCTCCTTGTATCCTAATTTCTCTGGTGGTGTGAATTATAGGCTGGTGATCCTTTGCTCTATGTCTAAAATCCATATATGAGTGAGTACATACCATGCTCCTCTTTTTGTGACTGGGTTACCTCATTCAGGATAGTTTCTTCTAGTGCCATCCACTTGCCTGCGAATTTTAAGATTCCATTATTTTTTTCTGCAGAGTAGGATTCCATTGTATAGATGTGCCACATCTTCTTTATCCATTCTTCAGTTGAGGGGCATCTAGGTTACTTCCAGGTTCTTGCTATTACAAATAATGCTGCTACAACCATAGTTGAACAGATGTCTTTGTTGCGGATATGGATCATTTGGGTATATGCCTAAGAGTGGGATTGCTGAGACCTGTGGTAGACTTATTCCAATTTTTCTGAGGAACCGCCATACTGATCTCCAAAATGGCTGTATACGTTTGCACTCCCACCAGCAGTGAAGGATTGTTCCCTTCACATCCTCTCCAGCATAAGTTGTCATTGGTGTTCCTAATTTTAGCCAGTCTGGCAGGAGTAAGATAGTATTTCAGAGTTGTTTTGATTTGCATTTCCATGATAGCTAAGGATGTTGAGCACTTTCTTAAGTGTCTTTCAATTGAGAGTTCTCTATTCAGTTCTGTACCCCATTTTTTAATAGGGTTATTTGGTGTTTCCTTGAATAGTTTCTTGAGTTCTTTGAGATCAGCCCTCTGTCAGATGTAGGATTGGTGAAGATCTTTTCTAGTTCGTGGGCTGCTGTTTGGTCTTGTCTACTGTGTCCTTTGCCTTACAGAAGCTTCTCAGTTTGAGGAGGTCCTATTTATTAATTGTTGATCTCAGTGTCTGTGCTCCTGGAGTTATGCTCAGGAAATGGTCTCCTGTATTAATTTGTTCAAGGGTACCTCCCTCTTTTTCTTCTAAGAGGTTTAGTGTGGCTGGATTTATGTTCAGGTCTTTGATCCATTTGGACTTGAGTTTTGTGCATGGTGATTGACTTGGATCTATGTGCAGTCTTCTACACACCATCATCCAATTGTGCCAGCACCTTTTGTTGAAGATGCTTTACTCCTTCCATTGTATACTTTTAGCTGTTTTGTCAAAACTCAGGTCCGTAGGTGTTTGGGTTAATATTAGGATTTTCGATTTGATTCCATTGATCTCTCTGTCTCTTTTTGTGCCAATACCAGGCTGTTTTCAGGATTAGAGCTTAAAGTTGGGGATGGTGATGCATCCTGAAGTTCCTTTATTTTACAGGGTTGTTTTGGCTATCCTGGGCCTTTTGTTTTTCCATATAAAATTGATTATTATCCTTTCAAGGCCAGTGAAGAATTGTGCTGGGATTTTAATGGGGATTGCATTGAATCTGTAGATTGCGTTTGGCAAGATTGCCATTTTTACTATGTTTATCCTACCTATCCAAGAGCATGGGAGATCTTTCCATTTTCTGGTATCTTCTTTAATTTCTGTCTTTAAAGACATAAAGTTCTTGCTATATAGGTCTTTCACTTGTTTGGTAAGCATTACCCCAAGATACTTTATGTTGTTTGTAGCTATTGTAAAGGGTGATGCTTCTTTGATTTCTTTCTCAGCCCCTTTGTCCTCTCTATATAGTAGGGCTACTGATATTTTTGAGTTTATCTTATATTCTGCTAGTTTGCTGAAGGTGTTTATCAGCTGTAGGAGTTCCCTGGTAGTTTTTTGGGTCGCTTATGTGAACTATCATATTATCTGTAAATAGTGACATTTGACTTTTTCTTTCCAATTTGTATCCCCTTGATCTCCATTTGTTATCTTATTGTTTTAGTTAGAACTTCAAGTACAATATTGAAGAGGTATGGAGAGAGAGGGCAGCCTTGTCTTGTTCCTGATTTTAGAGGAATTGCCTTAAACTTCTCTCTATTCAGTTTGATGTTGGCTGTTGGTTTACTGTATATTGTTTTTATTATGTTTAGGTATATTCCTTTTATCCCTGATATCTCCAAGACCTTTTTCATGAGGGTGTTCAATTTTGTCAAAGGCTTTTTCAGCATCTAGTAAGATGATCATGTGCTTTTTCAGTTTGTTTATATGGTGGATTACATTGATAGATTTTCTTATACTTAACCATCCCTGCAATCCAGGGATGAAGCCTACTTGTTCATGATGGATGATTTCTCTGATGTATTCTTGGATTCTGTTTGCCAATATTTGATTGAGTATATTTACATCAATGTTCATGAGGGATATTGGTCTGTAGTTTTCTTTCTTAGTTGTGTCTTTCTGTGGCATGGGTACCAAGTTATTGTGGCCTCATAAAAAGAGTTTGGTAATGAACCTTCTGTTTCTATTGTGTGGAACAATTTGAGGAGTATTGGTTTTAGCTCTTCCTTGAATTTCAGGTAGAACTCTACACTGAAGCCATCTTGCCATGGGCTTTTTTTGGTTGGAAGGCTTTTGATGCCTGCTTCTATTTCATTAGTGATTATAGGTCTATTTAAGTTGCCTATCTGTCCTTAATTTAACTTTGGGAAGTGATAGGTATCCAGAAATTTGTCCATTTCCTTTGAATTTTCAAATTTTGTGGAGTACAGGTTTTCAAAGTGTGACCTGAAAATTGTCTGGATTTCCTTAGTGTCTCCCTTTTTTTTTTTTTTTCTTTTTTTTTTTTTTTTTTAATTTTCATGTTCTCTCTCTGGCTTTTGGTTAGTTTGGATAGAGGTTTGTCTATCTTGTTGATTTTCTTGAAAAACCAATTCTTTGTTTCATTGATTTTTATTTTTTATTTTTTTTTTGGGGGGGGTATTGCTTACCTCGTTTCTACTTTATTGATTCTAGCTCTCAAATTGATTATTTCCTGGTGTCTACTACTCTGGTGTGAGTTTGCTTCCTTTTGTTCTAAGGCTTTCAGTTTTGCTGTTACTTCTCTAATGTGATTATCCTTTGTTTTCTTCACATGGGCACTTAGTGCAATGAGCTTCCTTCATAGCACTGCTTTCAAGGTGTCCTATAAGTTCGGGTATGTTGGGTCCTCATTCTCATTGTATTTTAGGAAGCCCTTAATTTCTTTATTTCTTCGTTGACCCAGGTGTGGTGCAATTGCACATTGTTCAGTTTCCATGAGTTTTTGTGTTGTTGTTGAATTCCAATTTTAAAGCATGGTGGTCGGATAAGTTACAGGGGCCTTATCCAATTTTTTTTTTTTTTTGTATCTGTTGAGGTTTTTATGTCGCCTAGTATGTGGTCAATTTTATAGAAAGTTTCATGTGGAGCAGAGAAGAAGGTATATTCTTTTGTGTTTGGATGGAATGTTCTATAGATGTCTGTTAAACCTAATTGAGACATAACTTCTGTTTGTTCTTTTGTTTTTTTGTTAAGTTTCTGACTGGTGGTCCTGTCTAGCATTGAGAGTGGTGTGTTGAAGTCTCCCACTATGAGTTTTTGAGGTTTTATGTGAGGTTTGCATTTTAGTAGCGTTTCTTTTACGAATGTGGGTGCCTTTGTATTTAGGGCATAGATGTTCAGAACTGAGACTTTGTGTTGATGGATTTCTCCTGTGATGAGTATGAAATTACCATCTTTCTCTCTTTTGATTGCTTGTGGTTTGAAGTCTAACTTGTTAGATATTATGTTAGCCACACCTGCTTGCTTCTTGGTTCCACTTGATTGGAAGATCTTTTCCCAATCCTTTACCCTGAGGTAATGTCTGTCTTTGAAGTTGTGATGTGTTTTTTTGTATGCAGCAGAAGGATGGATTGTGTCTTCGTATCCTTTCTGTTAGCCTGTGTCTTTTTATAGGCGAGTTAAGACCATTAATGTTGAGGGAAAGTAAGGACCATTGATTGTTAATTCTTGTTTGTTTTAGATTTGTTGTAGGCGGTGGTATTTTGAATATATTTGCCTTGCTTTACCCTTGTGTTCTGG